GCGGCTGCATGGGGCTTAGTTGCCAGCTGGGGCTAAACCACGACAAGGTCTTAGATTAACTGAAGAGCTGGCCCATGTTTGGCTTTGCACAGTTGCTTTCAAATCACCAACTGCTTCACCAACGGAAAGGGAAATAGGTGACTGGGAAGGAGACACCACCTGGCTTGGCCAGCTGGCTCATCCCCATGGCTGAGGGTCACCTGGCACATGCCCATCACCTTGGCTGCCCCTGATGCTCCTGCTCCAGTTTGGAAGGCCAAGGAAACCACTTGGGTTGCTCCACGTCTCCCAGCCGTTTGGTGTTTAACTGGGTGAGGAAGGCAAGGCAGAAGAGGATGAAGAAGTAGGAGCTGAGGAAAGTAGAGGTGAGGGAAGAGCCAAGGTGAAAGGGCTAAGGGACATGTTGTTGGGGCAGTAGGAGGAAAAAAAAAAAAAAAAGGGGGGATACCTTGGCCCAGAACTATATTCTCAATCGTTTGTGGACATGTGTCTGGTTTGCAGACTAACACACACAGCGCAGCCTCACAGCACAGCCGCTGGCAGGTAGCAACCGACCTAACAAGCCTCCACAGTCCTCACCTGGGTACAAGCAGAGCCACAGAATATTTCTGTGTGGTGCCTTCCAGCGCACCTGATTCCAGATCTAAACACCTATTTACTACGCTGCCACGCATTTGCGCTAAATAACTGTGCTAATAAGGTCTCCTGGAAGTTCAAGATGCGAACAGAGACACTTTTTGGCTCTGAAGGATCTAGCTCAGGTCTCACAGGGCTGGCTCCAAGCCTGAAGCAACAATCTCTGTAGACTTCATATTTCTAGGAAGGTTAAACAGACCTCCTGCGGACTAGTGAGTACGTGGGGCAGAGCAAATCCTTCCTCCTGGGTCTATGAGAGAAAAAGCTGTTTTTCCCTCGCACGGGGAGGTGTGTGGATGACAGCACTGTGAGCTTGGAGGTGAAGAGCAGAGAGCTGCAGTCCTACAAAATTCCTTTTGCCTGAACGAAGGACACTAATAAGGGTTGGGTTTGTTTGGATTTTTTCCTTTCAGGCACCTGAGCAAACAAAGAGCGTGAGCCGATTAAACGTTAATGGGATTTATGCTCTATGTCATCTAGAGAATCCTGAAAAATCATACTTCGTTCTTGTCACAGTAAGGCTCCTGCTCTAGGAGAAAGCTTTTTCGACAGGCTGGTGCTCTGAACTAGAGGGATACAAATTGCATTTTAATTAAATGGATCTTCTGCAACTATTGCAGCCTGCCAAATAAAACCTTAAGGGTCGTTTTCCGTGTTTTTAAGAACCCTCTCTGCCAATATTTTTTTTCACACCACTCTAATATAAAGCCACATGTCCCACAAAATAAAAGGTCCAGGTGGATCTAGAATTCAGTCAAAAGGTGTATGCAAGCACACATTTGACCTGAATATTTCTCACAACAAAAATAAATTGCTATGGAAGGATAAGATCTTAGGCCACTGCAGAATAACAGCTACAAAATTCAAAAGAGCTACAGAAGAGCAAGCGGGTTAAAGACAGACAGCAAATAGAAGCCCAGTGACTTAAAAAAAAACACCACCCACCACCACAAGAAAAAGAATACTGCATTAGGTCAATTCCGGTTGCATTAGGCTAGTTCTGTTTTTTCTGGGGCAGTTTGTTGCTCATTTATTTAAAACATTTAAAATATTTTATAAGATCTTTGCGTGGCTTTTTTTCCTTTAATAAATAAAAGATCCTTTAAAAAATTAACAGTTCCTTAAAATGGAAGCTTCTTGTTTCTGCAGCTCCTGCCAGCGGCTCTGATTTCATGTAACATGGGCCTCTTAGAGCCATGCCATCAAATATTCGGAGGAGGGTGGAGTCGCTGCCTTCTGCGATTGCCTGAAATCCCCGGGGCAGAAAGTGAATTCCTCTACCGGAGAGTAAATGAGGCCACGCAACCGTGCCCGAGCACAAAGCCACCCTCTTCCAGGTCTGAATGATCTGGTTCCCGAGGCAGAAGAAAGAAATGAGTACCCAATCCCCTGGACCACAAAGGCCTTTCCTTCCATCCTTCTCGTTGCGTCTCAGGGTGGGCAGGAGCCCACCCGAGCTCCTGCCCGCTCGGAGCTGCCGCGTGGGACGGCGTGGCTCTGCCTTCCTCTCCACCCCCGAAGCGAAGCTGAGCTGTACGGCACCGACAACAAAACTGCAGCCTCCTTGCAGGGGGTTAAATGCAACTTTTGCTGCCTTCTTCTTTACAAATTGCCCTGCCAACCTCTCAACAATCTCTCTTCACTCTGTTTTCGTGTCAAAGACTTTTCTCCATTCTCAGAGGCCGACGGCCCGAATCCCGGCTGGGTTGCATTGCCCAGACTATGCAAAATTATGCCTGGAGCTAATGCAATTTAGATGTGCAATGCTCTGAACGTGAATAAAACTGCTTCATTAAACCTAGTTATTAAGATTTTCATCAATTGCAACTCACACATTAACAACGTACCCACTAAGTTGTCCCCTCAAATATTGTGGATACAAATATATCTGCTTGTAGCCTCTGATTCTGGTCAAGACTCTCTGGTCTACTTGGCTTTCTAGTCTGTTTTTATCCTCTGCTTAAAGAAAATTAGGATGAATGAGGACTGTTGAGGAAAAATACATTTCACTGAATAATGAGCAATAAAGGGACAAAGGAGTCAATGCAATGGGTGTAACATGGTTCGTTTCCACAGTGGCAAGTGTGTGTACACAGGTTTGACAGGCATAACAGTGCAGCGAGAGACAGGAATAACATATTACCCCATGAAACTCCTAGAGAGAGATTCCAGCGAGAAGAAGACAAAGAAAGAGCAGAGTCAATGACAAACAGAAACATAAGGCTATACAAATCTGTGCTGGCAGATAATCCCATCCCCTGTCCCACACCCACCAACTCAATATTCATAAAAATAACCAAGCAAGGAGCCAACAGGTTGGCTACACAGCACATACCCCCACATGCCCCCGCGGCCTTTCGACTGACAAGCAGACAATGCAAATACACCTTCCTCCTCCTGACACTTTGGGAGGTAATAACTTTGATTGTTGGGCAAATGCTGCTTGCTTTTTCAAACAGCAGTGTGAAATTCTGGGCGTCTCAGCCACCCTTCTGTTGCTGAGAATCTAAAAACACAATCTCTTTGCTGCTATTCATGGGCTATTTCTATTGAATAAGTAGATTTTACACCTGGGGCTGGTAAATTTTGATGACAAATTTGCTGGCTTGCTTTAAGCTCCTTTATTTCTATTTCCCTAAAGACTAAAACACGTCTGTATGTTTGCAGCATGTTTATCTGTAGAAAATAAAGGCATTTCCCTTTGAAAGACATTGCTAATGGAAGACATTATTTTATTATCATCGTCATCAGTATTATTGTTTCTAGCATCTCACTGGGGGCTTTGCTTTAAATTATTATTTTTTTAAAAACTACAGTCAAGCACAGAATAGCTTCTAAATAGCTACAGGCAGAAGGAAGGCTGATAGCTGGTTTGAGAGGCTGAGATGGATTTTATGAACCTTGCAATGATGACTGATACCATCTCGTACGCCTAAACAAACATAGGCTGTTACAATATTCCAGATGGAAGCATTTCAGGGAGCTCTGTTTTTCCTAGGTTTTCAGTGACATGTCTATTCAGCAG